GTGTGGGTCGGTGTCGGTGTGAAGGCGGGTGGATGAGCGCGCCGATGTCTGCGACTGCTCGTCAGAGCAGGAATCATCAGAATGTACGTGGTTTTCCTGGAGAGATCCTGACAAAAGCAACAATTGTTTGGAATAAAGAAATAAATAAATAATGCTGATTGGGTGAATAGATTCTACAGCACGTTTTACAACCTTGCGGTCATGACCCCAAATGTGGTCACCCGAAATGTCTAGTAATTGATTTAAAAACAAAAAAAAAAATTAATGATAAAAACATTTTTTTTCAACTTATTTTTATTCCCTTTTAAAAAAAATTAAATTTCACTTTCTTGATGATGAATCAAGTTCAAATAAAATGCAGCATATAGAGATAGATGAGCCGGTGCATCTTGATTGGCTGCTGCGGTCACGTGACTGCACAAAACTTTGACGTCAAGATGGAGTCTTGAGAAGGTTGAGAAGCACTGGACTGGAGACCAACAAAGGCCTGTTCACTTTTCTTGTTTCAGTCAACTGTAACAGTCCTGTGTCTGCATTACAGTCGTGTGTCTGCGTTACAGTCGTCCTCATTCTAATAGTTCCCGTGTTTTGTCGTCTGTTTCATAATTCCACTACATTATCTGATGTCCTACAACCAAGTCGTCCAGACTCTTTTCTTTATTCACCTTCAAATGACTTCCTCCTTTATTAGTTTGTGTTTCCTTCCTTTATTTGTTACTGTAATGAAGAATATGTCGTGCCACACATTTGATCCAGACCTGGATCAAATTCCCCATTAGATAAAAACCACACCCTGGACGCAGTGTAATTTCAGGGTAAACTTGTCACCATTTGCGTGCACCGCAGTAACAATCTGTCATTTGTAAAGGTTTCAAGGTAAGACGGTGTATTAAAGAGGTCGGTCTAAAACAATAAACAATCTGTTTAGTTCCCAACAGGAAGTGTGGACGCTGTGAAAGGCTGAGGTTTGTTCGTATTATTGGCCCTGGTCTGATCTGAGCTCAGATTTAGCCTGGTTTAATATTTCATTAAAACCCCTCTGGCTTAGAGGGCTTTGTCATAACATTGTTCTGCCTGCCTCAACACACACACACACACACACACACACACACACACACACACACACACTGGCCCTGCAGTGAAAACAAGGCTGGGCTTTGCCAGTGTAAACACGGACCATTGTTATGGGCACTCTTTTCCCGCCTCAGAGTCCAGTGCAGCGCTGGCCCCACAGTGCAGTTATATTGAGAACTTTCTAGCACTGTTTTGCCTTTACGTTCATGTGACCATGTCATTATAATGCAGACGGCAGAGTGTGATTTATGTGCTGGGTTTCCGTCCCTCCTTTTACTGCTGTGGGATTCGAGTGCCTGGTTTGTGGTCTTTTTTGCTTTCAGAGGTTTTTAACTTTTTTGACAAATATTTTTAGACGAGCTGCAGGACAATTTGCTTTATATCACCAGACTGTTGCTGCTTACAGAGACCAGACACAAAATAATAAGAAATAATCACAAAGACAAACTATTGCCTACTTATTTATACAATATTTATGCAGTAATTTGGCTAGAGTTTAGCTTTGAAGGCTAGCCTGAAGCTCATTTGGTTTAATTTTTTAGCTCTTCTTTAGCAATATTTAGCTTTCTGTTAGAAGACTTTAACACCAATTCTACTGCGAGAGCAAGTATTCAATTTCTCGTTTGCGACATTTTCATCATTTTGCTACATGTCTGGTCAACATTCTGGTCTTTAACTATTTTGGTGAAACATGTTTCTGTGTTTTGGCTAATTCTTGGTTTGTTTGAGAAACTATTTGGTCAACTTAAAGTGATACATTAATAATGATAATAATAACAAAGTTTCTCTTTGTGTGTTGTGACAGTTGTAACTCTGTCATGTGTTCGTACACAAACCTGAGTGTGTGTGTGTGTGTGTGCGTGTCACAGCTGTGACCTTGGTCCACATATGCAGTCAATTAGAGCCAATCAGAAGGCTGTAATCTGGGTGTGGCAGCGTGGGGTTGGTGGCTGCGTGGCAGGAGGCCGGGTTTGTCTGTAGTTACTGTGTCAGTCTGACGAGCGGCCGCATCCAATTTCTTCAGTTTCCTGCCCCGTTTACCTTGACTGGTTTAGGGGCCGTGTTTATTTGGCTTGTGCCCACCAGACGTGAACATGAGGGGTTTTACATTTCTGAGGTTCTTGAAGCTGCGAAGGTGACAGATTGGTGTGGTTGGCCACATTAAAATGACATGATTACAGAACCTGGTTTAAATGTCAACTCTTCTATTTCACCTTCAAATGAAGAAAGTGAATCATTTACCACTTCAGTTCCCTGATCTGAGACCGAGTTCTTTGAAGTCAGTAAAACTGTTAAAGAAATAGTTATTAACCTCCTCTGAAGTTGGCTGCACCAGTTATTTTGTTCTGTATAGAACAGGTAGATCCAAAGTCTGGCTCAGGTGCCAGTCATGACACTTGGGACGAGTGTGTTGTGGTCCACAGTTTCAACTCTTTTTGTTCCCTTGAAATGGTTCATATTTAGTTTTATTCATTTGGTGTATATTTATTATGTGTATTTGCATTTGTTTACCACCAGTCCTACAGTAGGTAGTACTGGGGACGGGGGACGGGGACGGGGGTATTTATCTGGCTCCCTGGGTATTTATACATTATCTAATCTGGCCAGGTCTGAGTCCGGTCTGGACTCCTCTGTCTTGTCTGTCTTTATTGCTTCCAATAGGAAATCTCTTGTAACATGTCCCAGTTCTAAGTGGTATTCAGTGGAGACGAGCTGTGTTAACTGCGCTCCGCTTTTTCCTGCGCTCTGATTGGCTCCTGGACCGCTGCCAAAGTCTGCCTCTGGAAATTTGATCAGCGAGGTTTGAGTAAACGTTCCAAGTTCTCCCCATCTTCAGATCACAGTCACAGCGCTACAGTCTGCTTCATGTAACATCCACAGTGCAGTGAGAGTCCTAGAATAAGGTGTGACCCCGGAGCAGGGCAGGCGGTGTCATCTGTTGCTCTGCGTCTGACCTGAGTCTGGCCCTGCCTCGAAAACCACATGTGAACAGGCAGGAATGTGTGGCCCACTACGGTGGGTTTGAGTGTTTAAGAGAGCAGCTGGGACCAGCCCCTTACTCCCCTGACTCACGGGACACTGAGGATGGGGGAGAGCGGGGGGGTAAAGCTCAGCTTTCGGGAATTAGAGCACAAGTTGACTCCCCTGACTCACGGGACACTCAGGATGGGGGGGGGGTGAAGGGGGGTAAAAATCAGCTTTCGGGAATTAGAGCACAAGTTCAGATGAAGTGTGTGAATCATGGCTGTGACGCAGCTGATCGTAGCGTCTGTTGTCATAATAGACCGAAAGACTGTGAAGTGTTTTTGGCTTCACTCCTCTCATCGTGTCCTGTACGGAAAACTGTTGTATCTTTAGCTAAAGGAGAGGAAGTCTGAAGGATTTATCTCCACGGATTGTTCAAGTGACATTTAACCCAGTGTTCTCTCAAGGGATTGAAATCTTAAAGTACTTCCTGTAAAATCACTGTTGTGTTTTTAAGATTTTGAAAATACTTGACTGTTGGATTAAGCACTTGAAAAAAGCAACATTATATTTATTTGACCAATTTGTTGGCTCTAAGGAGGCACAGATCCAAACCCACTGTAGAAAAGGCAAAGTCGCAAAAATATGTAATTCACAGATGTTCGTTATTTTAAACCTTAAACGTCATCAGAACAGCTGAAGGTCGGACGTAAAGTAAAGAAGCTAAAATCAACCAAAACAAAGCAAAAAGAAAAAATCTGATCAAACAACGTTGTGTAACTTTTACTGATAAATGTGGGAGAAATATTAGCCACAGTTAGCCGTAGCCATAGAGGTGAGTGTTTTGTTCATATTTTTGACCTTTTTTTTTCAACATTTCCTTCTCTGTTTCTCCCGTTCCTTTTCCATTTGTAGTTCCGAAGAAGTTGCTGCAGGAGCAGGGCCCCAGACCGCCGGTCTTCCCCCCACCCCCGAGTGCCCATGACCCCAACATAGTGGGAGACAGCCCTCCGGAGGGGAGCTCAGTGAAAAGCGCTGACGCTGTTCCAGGTGAGCCCAAGAAATGAACGACAAATGGAATAGGCTTGTTCACTTTCTTTTCTTTTAACACACACACACACTGAGCCTCCCGTGGAGAGCAGTTAACACTGAAAATCTACAGGAGGCCTCCCAGGCCTCGGAGAGACCGGCGAGGTCAGATCACCAGCCGAGGCTTATATGTGTGTATATGTTAATGTCACGGGAGTTTAACCGATTCCATATGTATCTGAGCGGAGCCACTGGTCTGGGCCATTTATGATCCGACGTCTTTGGCGTTCTAAAGAGCAGATGATTGCAGTGGCACGTGACCTGAGTGTAAATCAGCCCCTGAAAAAGGTCAACCCCCACAGGGAGACGAAATGCAGCAGGAACAATGAAATAAGAAAAAGATTTATTCACTGATGAGGGGGGAAGTTACTACCTGTTTATTCTGCAAAACAAATGACACAATGAACTCTTAAACCTTTTAACCTTCCTTCATATTAAACCAAAAATAGAATTAAAATTCAAATCAACCATCCTTCTCATATTATCAATACAAAGTGAAGCAGAATGAACTTTTTTTTTTGTCTGAACTTGCAGTACAAGAGCTTTATAGGCAGGTCAAGTTGCTTCTGGCGACCTCTTCTGGCAGTGTGTGATAAAAAAAAAGATTTCGATCGACGTGGGCTGTTGCATGAAAAGATGTAACTGTTGACTATTTTGTAATTTTTCACCAAAGTCAGTACAGATCTGTAAAGTCTGGTGTATCTGGCTCTGGGTTTTCATCATCAGGTCCAGGTGGAAACATTTACCCCCTCACTGAGCAATTCCAGGCTAAACACACAGCTCAGAGACGCTGCAGTTATTGCTCAGCCGTGTGTGTGACACTTCACCTGAACCAAGTTCAGCTGCGCTGACGAGGAGAAATGTTAATGTAATCAGTGTGACTGTGCACCGGAGCCTGAACGCAGCAGCCGTTCATCTCTGCTGCCTTAGCTTCAGGCCTGTTACTGGTAGCAGAGCGGTGGTCAGTCACGGAGATACAGTTACTGCGGTTTCCTGTGTGGCACCTAAACAACTCTGTCAGGACAACTTGAGGCCGTCATAAAAAATAAAAAAACCCCAAACATTTCATTATTTTTTTTTCTCCATACAGTAATGAAATCATTCTGTGTGCCTTTCCTCCTCTCAGCTCTCTAATTCATTCATACCAAACACAGGCCAGCGTGTAAACACTGGAGGAAGTCACGCTGCGGTGAAAATCCGCAACAGGAAGAGAGAGTCGTTCCCATCTATAAATAAAATCAATTTCTGAGATGTTTCGACAGGATCTTTGGAAATGTTGCCGAACTGTGGACGTGTTCCATGTGGTTGTGTGGTTCTCAGGGTCCTGAGTCAGAGAGACTGTGACAGAAGCAGATGTTTTATCTTAATCTTCTGATTCATGCAACTCCAACAACTCTGACTTCTGTGTGTGTGTGTGTGTGTGATGCATCCTTTTTTACAGCAGTGTGTCTGCAGAAAATGAAAACCACCGTGGGTTAGTCAGCGTTAGCAGTGCTGTAGTCACAGTTCCTCAGAGCTGATACAGTGCAGTGACTGTAAATGACAGTAGCAGCAGCGTCAGAATCCTGACTCCAGAGTACAGTAAACACACACACCAACTTTGACAAAAACAAATGATTTAACTCTGATGTCATTAAAACGAAATTACAAAAATACCAAAGTAGAAATCACTTCAGGTAGTTTTTAGGGATGAGCAGACTCAGTCTTCTTTTGTGTTTCTGATTTTGGATTTCAGCCCGAAATCAATGTCCACTTTTCATTAACGTTCTATTAGTCTGACGTGAACGACCCGGGTGAGTTATTACTGTAGCTTCAGTCGACTGTGCAGGTGAAGAGGCTGATGGGTGTGACGTCTGTGGAGATGAATGACCGGTGCACTGACTAACTTCATGCCTTCATTTACAGATAAAAAGAAAGTCCGAGAGACCAGCCCCAGTGAGGAGAAGTCTTCAGAAGCCGACAGAGGGAGTGAAGGAGCAGGAGGAAGAGGAGCAGGAGGAGGGAGTATTGTTGTGCGAACCAAAACCATGAATCCCATCATCAACTCCACCTCCGGCTCTAACATGGCGCTCATCAGCAACGCACTGGCAGCTTACAAGTACATATCAGGTAAAGAAACCTATGTTCTGTCGCTGCTAAAGGTCAAATCAAAAGGTCATCAGTCCTGTACAATATAACAAGTAAAAAAATATGTAAAAAAATATATGCAGAATGTAAAGAACCTGAGATAAAGTCAATGTAATTGTTTTTATTTCTTTATTTTAGTACCTAAGAGTGATGTACAAATGTGCTCTCTACATAAATGTTATTGTTCAGTTTTTTAATGTATTGTTTGCACATATGGAGGAGGGTAGGAGGTGGGGGGGGGTCGTCATTTTGTATCCCTGCAGAACAACTCCAGAATCCTCCAAATCTTTGTCATTTTCGACTTAATATATCAAATGTGAGGGAGATTAATAATTCCACAGATTTTTAATAATCTGGATTTAGCAACAGAAACAGAGGAAATCCTCCAGGACGTCACAGGGAGAAACAGATGTCGACACTAATTCTTTTATATTCAGACCAGGAAGCGGCGAAATGTTTTTGGTTTTTTTTATTTAATCCTATTGAGCTGTTAGCTGCTTTTAATAAGTTCTTGCTTTCCTGTCAAGTTCTGTACCTAAAAATATGACGTAGTACTTCAATACTACAGATGAAGAGTCTGGCTGTACTGCAGGGGTTCACTTGTTTGGTTAATGTTCATCTGAATCACATATTTCTGTCCCAGACCAGGGGGAGAGGGGGTGGATGGAGGAATGTAGATGTGTAGCATGATAATGACCACACACACACACACACACACAGTCAGTCAGTCAGTCACCTGCTTCAGAGCCAGACACCGGAAGATTCCTGGGCGTTTGGATATTTCCTGTTCACCTCCCACTGTGACCAACAGTGAAAAGACTGGAACCTTGAATGTGTTCACAAATGTTGGCACAAAACCACACGTGTATTTTCACAAACTCAGCAGAAGCTCAAACCCAAAGATTTTCATTGGGGCAAAGGTCAAACTCATTAGTCAGAATAAATAAAACATTTGATGACAGAGCAGCTTCTGGGAAAAACTTTTGTCCTTATTCTTTTTCATCTGTCTCGTCCATTACACAGACCATCCAGAGAGGGCGGCGCTCTTCTTCGTCTGCGGGGTGTGTCTGGGCCTCTTCCTCACCCTCTTCGCCCTCGTGATCCAGATCTCCTGTCGTACCGATTGCCAGCCCCGCAAGCAGCCGCCGGCCAAGAAACGACCACGCCCTACGGACTCGTCCGACGACTCCAGCGACTCGGACTCGGACTGGGACACCACGTCTGACCTGTCGGCGCGGAGACACCGGCGGTTTGAGCGCACGCTCAACATGAATGTGTTCACCTCGGCGGAGGAGCTGGAGAGAGCGCAGAGGCTGGAAGAGAGGGAGCGGATCATACGAGAGATCTGGATGAACGGGCAGCCGGACATACCAGGGACACGGAGCCTCAACCGGTATTACTGAGGATGGATTTGTCTACGGAGACCACCTGACTGGACCGCTTTTGTTTAACGACACACTTGTGTCCCTAAAGGTCTTGAGGAGGCCTTACCAGCACGGTTTCTTGCAGCGGCCACCGACGAGGACGATGGAAGCTGCTGAGAAAAGTCTTCTCTGGACGTTGCTCTGTTCTCTCGGGCGTCGTAAGCTGCAGCCAATTAAAGAGGAGAACGAGCGCTAGTTCAAATCTAGTCTGCGGAAAAGAACAGGAGTCAAATGATGCTGCCCAGCCTGTGGCTTCGGGAGGAAGTATTTGAAGTCTGGTGTCGGGGGTTCGGCGGCCTACAGAGGACTTCATGGACCAGGACCTTCTCTAGGTCAGTTTCAGAGGCTACGGCAGCTGCGAAAGGTCACGACCCCTGTGCGTTGCCTCCAGTATTTAAGTACGGACTTCACAAAGAGGTGACGACCGACTGGTGGATGTGACGACACCTGACAATCTGTCCACAGTGAACAACCACGCTGCCTTTGGAACGCTACCAAAACTAAAGATCGTTTTTCCGAAGGGGAAATTTATCTCAACATGTATGAAATATATTTTATAATATTTAATAGTTTATTGATGTTGTGTTATTGTCTTTTTTTTTTGTCTTCAAGTTTGGTGAGCTATTTTTATACCTAAAATGTGGTGTGGCACCTCAGGAAGGCAGCAGTAGTGTCTCTGTGTGTTTTCCATTTCTGGAATATTTGCTTCCTACGGAGGAAACCTCTCCAGTCCAACATCAGAGTCGGAAAAAAATGAAATGCATCGTATGAAGAGCCTCAAAGAGGATTCAGTGGTTTGTTGTTATAATACCTTATTTTTGATACACAAAGTTTATTTCTTTATGCAGTGCCTTTTTAAGCTACAAGGTCACTGTGTCCAAGAGTGCCTCCGGTGTTAGCCCTCAGTAACTGTTGACACTAGGTTATTATGTGGAAATTAAAAAAAGAAATGTATTTCATTATACAGTGAGTGTATTCCCTTAAATAATACTATTGTTTTACTCAATTAGATCATGTGTTAAACCTCAAAGTCAAATGTTGCACTTGTCAGATCTGAATTCTGAAATACTATAATACAGTGTTTCCCAACCGTTTTGTTTTTTTTAACACCATGGCCCACATTTTACATAAGTCAGATCCCTCCAGTAGATCATTTCCCACGGCACACTTTTGGGCCGCACCTCGGTGGTTGGGAATCACTGCCATGTTGTGAATATTCCTTGTGGGTACATTTGAAGTTGTCGTCACCGCCCAGAAAAACTGGGAATTTGAGTTCTTTTGACAAACGTTGTTTTGCTGTAGAAGCAGCCGTGGTGAACAGGTGTCTTCACAGTGGACACACAAGTCGCTCCTTTGGACTCACACAGCCAGTTTGAATGGTATAAGCTATTGTTGAGTCCACATCTGGATTCAGGCACAAAAGTAATCCAAAAAAAAAGTTATTTTCCTACTGAGTGAAAGTTTGAACTGAGATTTAAGGATGGTTCCTTTAGAGAAACTCTTTTATCCAGTCTTTTTATAAACAGTTTTTTACTGTTGACATTGAAATGGGATGAAGTTGTGCCAATAGCTGGTGAAGTGAGACCAAATCTGACCCCTGAATAAACTGTGTTCAAGAATAATCCACGTTCCAGGTTTTCTTTCTACACTTCATCTGTTCTTATAATGTTATCAATACTATGTGGTTTGGAATTTAACCAGCAACCAAGTATTAATAACATTGTATACTGTATACTGTTTGTAATTTATATCGGACAGAAGCTGTTTTGCTACTTCGGGGCACTGAAGAAATTAAGGAATGCGGTGAGTTTCTCTTGTGGCGACCCCTTGTTTCCACGGTAATGATGACACTCTCTTTCAAGTTGGTCCTTTGATGTGTGTGACGTCACCTTTTCATTGCTTAGATTACAACCACGACGTCAGGCTGACAAATTGCCACCAATTCTTGATCAGAAGGGACAAAATGTCTTGGAACAAGAAGAACGTCGGGTTACCATTTTTACCAGGTTTCAGTTTTCGGGACATAACAGTAAGTTAGGAAACTGTGTTCACACCAGTACACGCTTTCATGAATATTTCACCCAGTCTTGCTTAACCTGAGTTGTACAGTACTTTCTGACTAAATGTTCCTTTCACCGACCGTGTTCTTTGCAGAAGAATGCCTTCCATCGGCCCCAGACCCTTGTCTTCAGCGATGGCTTAAATTTGCCCAATCACCCCACCATAGGGATCGGGGGGGAGCCTCTCCTGACCAGGCAGCTGAATCAGAATGACAACATTGAGCTGTGTTTCTATGAAGACTTTTTCCTGCCGTCCTACCATCGGCCCCAGACTTTGGTCTACTTCGATGGCCATAACATGATCAATCAGCCGTCGGTTATTGGTCCGAGGAAGGAAGGACTTTTACCCCGACACCTGCTCCCACCGGACAGACTGCATCTGTCCTACCGCTCGGCCAATAGCAGGCGTGCCTCTGGCTCCCAAGTCCAGAGTATGCCTGATGATTTTGTCCCACACTATGTTGGCAACGATAAGGTGAAGCAGTGACGATGGAGCCATCGACCGTCGCTTCTTCTTTTCCTTTGTTCTGACTCTCGTCTTTCTTGTCGTTCCAGGTGCTGCGTTTTTTTGCGTACTTCAAGGAGGACTGCCAGTATTCGGCTAAGGAGGTGTACCGCGTGCGGCCTGTGGTCATTTACTACTACCTGCTGGACAACACCATGGAGATGTACGAGCCCGCCGTGGAGAACTCTGGGATACCGCAGGGGAAGCGGATCAAGCGCCACTGTTTTCCCAAAAACGAACACGGAGAGACTTACCTCTGGAAAGACCTGAACATCGACGTGGACATTGAGGTGTACGGGGTCAAGTACCGCATCACTCACTGTGACGAGTTCACAAAGGTACGAGGCTCGTGGTTCCATGTTCTTAATGTTCTCTGTCTGTGATCTCTATTGACAACGACTGTTTGTGTTTGTGGAACCAGAGGTTCATGGAGCGTGGAGGCATCGTCCTGAACACACCCCAGGACATACCAGTGGACCCCTACACCAAACGTCGCGAGTTCCACATCCCCTCCCATACTACACCATCCTGCTACGACCGCCGGGGCAAATTTCTTGCCATGGACGGCAAGGTACATGAACTGCATCCTGTTACTTTACTTTCCTGAGTACTGCAGTACTTTTGGAACTTAAATGTGCTCTTTTGTTGTTAGGTGCTGTTTTTTTCCGCCATCTGGGAATTTGCAGAAGAAGCCACCGTGGCAGTGACTATCACGTATTATCTTGTGGACGACAGCGTAGCCATCAGTGAGATCCCTGCGGCTGACACCAGGAAGGAAGCGTGCCATTTCTTTCGCAGACAGAAGATGGCCAAAAAATTCAAACCAGGTGAGATGCAGGTGTCAGGTTTACTGTGATATCTGTGCAGGTGAAAACAGCAGAGTGATGGGTTCTTTGGGTTTTTTGTTTTTTTGCAGGCATCAAACAGTTCCCCAGCTGTGTACTGGAGATCTCCAAGGAGGAAGTGGAAGAGTACTACACACCCAGGGACTTCCAGCTGGGCAAAAAAGTAAACATGTTGGGCTATGACTTTTTGCTGGTTGACTGTGACCCCTACACCAAAGAGTATTATAAAGAGACATATCCTGATCTGGAGATGATTCCGGTGGAATTGCCGAAGGTGGTTGAGAAAAAGCGTTATGACGGCAAGAAGGTAAATAGATTTTATATATATTTATATAAAAAAGGGATTCATTTTTTTTATTTGAATAATCACAGGATAGCTGGATTAATCGTGGTTTTTGGGGATTAATGCAATATCTGTACACTTTTTGTTCTGTACACTGCTGGAACAAAAAGAGTATCAGCAGGTAGATATCTGTGTTTCACACTGGGTTGTATTTGTTACCAAATGATAGAATTATTAATATGGACAAAGGTCAAGAAATGTTTTTCTTTTTTTTAAAAAAAAAAGGAAAATTTGGCTTCTATTTAAAAAATTTTTTAACAAAAAAAAGGAAAATTTGGCTTCTATTTGAATCCACTTTGTTGTTTCAGTGTCAAACAGCCTGTGAACTTCTCCGTTCTATATGAAACATTTTCAGGAGATCCCGCCCTACAACGGCTTCGGGTCCCCGGAAGACTCTCTCCAGAACTGTCTGTCACTGATTCCGCAGCCTCACAGGAAGGATGTGAAAAAGATGCTGGAGTACGACAACAAAGTTCTGCACTACAGCGCCAGGCTGGTGAGGCTGCAGTAATACACTGTTAATGTCCAGCTGTACTGCAGTACTACAAGGCAGTGGGAACTGACTGTTGTTTTGTTGTTGTCTTTCACCCAGGATTCCCCGTATATTGTGGACAGGGACCGCGAGTTCACGCTGTTCTACTACTTGGCCAATGACACCATAGCTATTTATGAAAAGCCCAATCCCAACTCTGGAATCATAGCCGGAAAGTTCTTGAAAAAGATCCAAGTTCGTAAACCGGGCTCCACCCTAGAGAATCCTGAGTTTTACTCCCCTGCAGATTTTGCAATTGGCGCCACAGTGGAAAGTGAGAGTCACAGCGCCCTCTAAATGTGATAAATATTATTAACATTATAATTATTAATATTATTTTTCTTTGACTTGTCTTTAGTTTTCGGCCACCGATTTGTGATCACCAACGCCGCCCGCAACGTGCTCAATTACCTGGAGTCCATCTCAAGTTCGATCCCACCTGAGACACTGGAATCGCTGCGTCAGAAACAGGGAGAGTCGGACAGCAAATGAGCCACACTACAGCCAGTCCAATCATGGGAGCCTGAAAAAAAACACAACATCTGTCCATGTTGTTGGAGGGGTTTAACCTTGACATTTACTTTACCAGTCGACTATCTGAAAAAGAAGAGGAAAAAATCGTTGGCAAATCAAAGTAAGTAGGGATGTGTCCTCAGCAGGTTACTAGGCAGAACAGAACTGATAGACGTGTGTTTGAGTACCATATAGCTACTGTCATCTGCGTATATTACAGTATTTGTGCTTTTATTTGGTGAGTGTCCAGCCGTTGTCTGGTCTCCACACACCACTGGACAGAGTAAAAAAATTCTGAATCAAAAACACCTTCAGGATGATTGGATGGATATGTTTTCAGACACGTGCAGGTTGGGAATTGAACTCTCCACACGTTAATGTCCGACAGGAAGTCAACACATCAGCTGAGATTAGAATGTTAGAACACGTCTTTACAAAAAGGTCACGACCGACGGGGTCAGAGTCGAGGGAAGCGACAGCACAACGTGAAGGAAACACAGATGTGACCTCTGGTCCAATCCCTGTGCGGAGAAAGGTGCTATGTATGTTGGGGACTTGGCCCCCTCTAGTGGTAAAGATGTGTGCTGTCTCACGAAGTGTCTTCAGTGTGAGGTAAAAAAGACTCGTGAAAATGAAGGTCGTCCGACACTAGGAGGGAAGCACAGCTACTGTGGTTGTCATGACAACAATGTGTACTTTAATTTGAGCATTTACATAATGTAATAAATGTTAAGTTTTATACTTAAGTGTTCCACTGTTCAGGGTTGGAGGGGGGCAGGGGGTTGTCTTTGTACTGATTTCAAAGTTGTTCATTTTTCAAAGAATTTGTTACAGGAGCACAAGAAACGAAACAAACGACCACAGGAACTAGGACTTTTTAGCCTTCGCTCGGAGGTACTACTGTAGTACTGAGAGAATACTCGTGTTTACTGTCACTGTCATATAGGAAACTTCTGAAAATTCTCCAGTTTTGAAGATACAACATACTGTTGATCAGGGTTTTATTTGTACTGCCACGTTTTGAAGCAGTGAAAGAGGGTTTTTTGTTTTTTTATCTCTTTGTGATCCAACAGCAACAGATGTGAACCCATGTAGTTTTTCATTTAGGGCAGTTTGTTTCTGTTTAAAACTAATTGGAATCAAATTGTGTTAAAAATAAAATGTAGAAAAAGTTCAATTTTAGTTGTGTTTTAGAGGTCACCTCATTCTATCTATATGCTATCTCTATATGTATCTTTCGTGACGTTTACTTTGGTGTAATTTAAATCTTTGAACTAATCAGACAATGCTGTGCATCACTTCAACAAGAAGAAGAAAGAAGAAGAAACTCTGCATCCGTATGTAAAGTCATTGAAAAAGAAAAAACAACGTGTTTCAGTGTTATTAAACCTGGTAACGACAGTCGCTTTTTATTGTCATGACGGCTTCTACCGAAACAAATGCGTTTGTCGTCCTCTGACGGTCGATTTTTTTTACTACACTTCAAGTTGTGTAAAAGAAAAAACGTTACGTGAATTGTATTGTTTTTTCTTATAAAAACAAATGCATTTGTCGCCCTCTGACGGTCGATTTTTTTACTACACTCCAAGTTGTGTAAAAGAAAAAAAGTTACGTGAATTGTATTGTTTTTTCTTAACTTTTTGTTTGCTTTTTTGTTTTGCAAGTAACACAGACGTTACCGGTTCGCCTAATATAGGTTTATTTACTTTGCTTTACATTTAAAAAATAATAGGTAAATTAAAAAAAAAAAGCATTGATTGCTGTTGTGTCGTTTCCATAGATACCACAAACGTGCCGCGGCGGCCGTCGTGTCAGCTTGTTTTCACAGCAGCAGCTGTTTTTTATTTACACAAAAAATAAAACAGACCGAAGTTATGTCGTGGAACAAGAACAACCACGGCTTACCATTTTTGCCAGGAAACACTTTTACGGATTCAACGGTAAGTTTATGAGTAAGTCCAACTGTAGGGCGAGCAAGACCTGTTTACATTTAAAGGTAGGCTAGGTTAAATTGTAAGAATTTACTTAAAGAAAAACATGAAACATTACATAGGTATATATATATGTATGTGTGTGTGTGTATATGTATATATATATATATATTGACATTATATTTATCTATTATATTCATCTATTACGTGCTGTTCTCAACAATTCTTTCTGGTAGAAGTCATCCTTCCATCGACCCCAGACTCTGAGCTACAGGTGTGGCTACGCTCTACCCAGTCGCCCCACTGGGGGCATTGGTCAGGACCCCCTTCTGTCGGAGGAGCTACTCCACCAGCAGAGGAGTCAGATGTTCTTTGAGACTCCAGACGTTACATCTACCTATGGCTCTTTTCACAAGAGATCCTCGGGAGAATTCATCCCTGCTTATGTGGCCTTAGACAAGAAGGTAGAGTACAACTAGTATTTCATTATTTTAAAAAAAATCTTCCTTTTGATAGTAATTCATTATCATGTTGATTTTTCCCAGGTGCTGCGTTTCTTTGCATACATTCAGGAAGACAATCTGTATTCGCCCCAGGAGCAGTACCGTGTTCGGCCTGTGGTCATTTACTACTATCTAGAAGACGACAGCATGTGTGTCTTTGAGCCCACAGTGGAGAACTCTGGGATACCACAGGGCAAGCTGCTCAAACGCCATTGTTTTCCTAAGAATGAACTTGGAGATCATTACCACTGGAAAGACCTGAACGTTGGCATGGACCTGGTGGTGTACGGAGTGAAGTACCACATCACTCAGTGTGACGCTTTCACAAAGGTCTGAACCACATGTGTCAAACTCAAGGCCCGGGGGCCAAATGCAGCCCGCCAAGTCGTGTTGTGTGGCCCGTGGGAGATTAAAAAGCATTTAGTAAAGTCTGAGTTTCTAAACCTGAGAAATTAAAAGTTTTTTTTTATTACACAGCAATGAATAATATTTGTAGCTTGAATTAATAATAATCAATTACAGAAACATCTATTGTTTTAATCAGAGTCTGAATGGCCTATTATTTTAAAATATTCCCAGATTATCTAAGTAAATGGATGATTTTTTGGTGACTGAAGTAAATTAGTAAAAATGAAGTACATGTTTTTCACTGTGTCCCACACCAGCCCAGTACTAAATGAACTATAGACTGGTACTAGTCCACGAACCGGGGGTTGGAGACCCCTGATCTATACAGTCATTTACAGACGGTCCTTCAAGGGGAACTGTATTGCTGACGTGGCCCCCGGTGAGAATGAGTTTGACACCCCTGGTCTGAATGGTACTTTTTTCCCCCATTAAGAACGGACCTTTAAAACCATTTTCTTTTTTGGATTTGTTCTCTGTGTGTGTTTTCCACCTTGTTTATTAAAACAGGGATTCATGGAGAGTGAGGGCATTATTTTGAACGATCCTGAGTCCATACCTGAGGATCCTTACATCAAACGTCGTGAGATGCCTCAACCGTGCCACACCAAACCCGCTGAGAATGACCCAATGCATCTGTTTCTCACTATGGACCGCAAGGTAAATCCTGTAGGATAATATCCAAACACTCTAACGCACACCACTCACACACTGACTTGTGACGATGACTTCTCCCACCTGTAGGTCCTGAGGTTCTTTGCCCTGTGGGACGATGATGACGGGGAAACCAGGCCAGTCACCATCCAGTTTTACCTGGTGGACAACACAGTGGAGATCAGAGAAGTCCACCAAGCCAACAGTGGTCGAGATCCCTTCCCTGTACTGATGCGCAGACAGAGGCTGCACAAGAGACTCAGACCACGTACGATTCAAAGCTGCTCTACCAGAAATAACAAGAGGGAAACTAAACATTTGGCTGTAAAAATGTCTCTGTGGTCGCCTGAAATTTGGGATGTCAAAATTGGGGTCACAAGCCAAAAAAGGTCAGAGAACTACTGCCCAAAAGGTCATGTGAGGTTCCCTAAAAATATCTGACAAAATAAAGTAACATTTTATCAAAACAGCTTGGATTTAATTGTTCAAATCTCATGTATAGTCAAATATTTGACTGTATTAAAACAGTTCTTTAATTAACATTCAGCTAATTGTTCTACCATGGTTTGACTTAATGATTCCACCTGGAGGTTCCTTAAATTACCTTGAATATATTTGGACGGAATTATACAAACCTGCTTTAGTACATAAGTACTATGAGAAGTATTCATACAGTACCCTAACCCTAACCCTAAGTACTATGAGAAGTATTCATACAGTACTTGTCTTATTACTCTGCAGAGGCCTTCCCCAGCTGTGTGTTGGAATTGTCCAAAGAGGAAGTGGATGAGTACTACTCACCGAAAGACTTCCAACTGGGTCACACCTTAACCCTGTTGGGCCGTCGCTTTTTGCTGTACGACTGTGATGGTTTCACCAGAGACTACTTCCACACCAACCACCCAGGCATGGACATGAAACCCACTGAAGTCCCCACAAAAGACACCCTGATCCAGAGCAGAAAGAAGGTCGAGGCGTTACTCTTATTGTGAACAAAGATACTGTATATATATATATTTCTTTCTTCTTACTCTGACACAGCACATCTTCTGTTTATCTACAGGCCGTTCCTCCCTACAATGGCTTCGGATCACTTGAGGATTCTCTTCAGAATTGTTTGTCCCTGATTCCTAAGCCTCCTAAAAAGAACGTCCTGAAGATGCTGGAAAATGACCACAAAGTTCTGCGCTACAGTGCCAGGCTGGTGAGTCCACAGACACTCCTGTGACTTATTGTGTGTTTCTGCATTTGTACTACAGTCAAAAACATGTTGAATCCATATTACTTTTTATTATACAGACTTGGGGTTTATGAGTTTATTGAGATTTTATGACTTAACTGTAAAGCTTTTAGAACCCTGTAGCAGAGTTAGTTCCAGGGGCTGCTTTGTGCTTTCATCAAAGTCCAGCATTCACAGCTAGCAGTACCGCTGCTGACCCTATTTTACTGGCACTCCAGGACTCCCAGCATCCTGAAGATGAAGGACGACGCTTCACTCTGTCCTACTACCTGTCCAATGACATGATCAGTATTTTTGAGAAACCCACTCGTAACTCAGGCATCATTGCCGGCAAGTTTTTGGAAAAGACCCGCGTCCCAAAACCAGGCTGTACAGTGGAAAATCCCCAGTGGTACTCACCTGCAGATTTATCCATCGGAACCACAGTGGAAGGTGAGTGTGTTTTCAGATGACATCACATTCATAGGATTCCACCGATGTAAACATTTTCATCATTTTGTTTTTTGTTGCTACAGTTTTTGGCCATCGCTTTGTGTTGACTGATGCTGCCCCCTATGTGCTCACATACCTGGAGTCCATGGCCAGTGAGATTCCTCTTCAGACGTTAGATTCATTACGTCAGAAACTGGGTGTGGGGATAACCCACAACCCAACAGGTGACTCATGGTTTTCAGTATTCAATTTAACATGTTGATATGACTTTCAATTCAGCTTTTTTTCTCTCTCTTTTTTTGTGTTTACATCAGGTGATGAAGTCACAGGGCCATGTGTGTCAGATTAACCGGGGACCCCAAACAATTTTGTGCTCATCACTTTTAATTTTTATATATATATATAAATGTATCATTAATGAAGAAAAAAGTTGGTGGGGGAACAATGGAAGTCTCTAAAGTTTGACAAAATAAAGCATTTCTCGATAATGGTCAGGTAAGATTAGAATACTTGATAAAGATAATGTATTATAAAGTATTTAAATATAAGTATTTATTCCTCCGCACACTTTTCTTTAATTCACTTCACATTAAATTCACTGACCTGAGTTTTCAGACAGTTGATTGTTCCATCAGGGTGGTGATCTTGGGAGGGAACCGCTC